TGTGTTTTGGAATGCAATGTATTCGGGGGAACTCATTACAACTTGAGTGCCGGGACCAAGTCCTTGTCCACGATCGACTTGATGAGCGAGTTTCCGTTCAAGATCTTGGTCGTGGCAATCACAATGTCAAACGGACACTCGGGCTGTTTGGACAAGTGGCGCAGCGCCGCGATTTCCATAAACGTGACACCGCCGACAAAGTACACTACCATGACTCTGCGTTCGTCCGCGCCAAAGCCCTTTTCCTTCTTGTCCGTCGCGCCTGCCTCGTACCTGAGCAACTCGCCAGGGTTATCACGTTGGACATACCAGTCGCGTCGGCAGTGGCGGTGGTCGGTGGCACTTGCGAGATTTCGTCGCTCGGCCCTGGCAGCTGCTTCATCGTGTCTTGAATCGTTTTCCACCCCGTCGTGTGGGTCATTCTGTTGGTCGCGGCGATCTCGACCAGGCGAACACTCAACGGTGCATACCCCTTGGTCACGTACCTACAGTTCCCGAACACCACGATGAAAATGCACTGGCGAGTCCACATTTCGTCGCAAAAATGACAAACATGGGCGACAGGAATGCCCATGCGCATGCCAGCTAGGGCGAGGCCGGTCCCACCACCTCAAACGGAGTATCGTGGGGAGGCTGGACGGAAGGGATCGGCCACTGACTTACGCAATGTCTTTGGGATTGAGTACGTTCACGTTGTCGTTGATGAGGCGAAGAGACTTGCGCACTGTGAGAAACGCGGACGAGCTTGCGACGGGAAACAAGCTGTCCTGGCGGCGCAACAGCCCGACTTTTTCCAAGTTGCCCAAGACAAGGAGCATCTCAAACCCATACGTCTGGATGAGCTCCCGGCGGAGCAAGTCGAACGATTTGGCTTTGATCCCGCCGCTTGTGAGCGACTGCAGGCACAGCAGTCGCAGCACTTTCAGAAGTGGTTCCTGCAGCCCGATGAGTTCCTCGAGCTCTTCCAAAAGGGACTGGCCCTCGAGCATTGATCGTTCGTGGTGCCACAGGTCCGTGAACGCTTTCGAATCGGTCGTCCGCTTGATCAGCTACGACAACACATCACTTTGACGAGGGATCGCGTCGGGTAGATCCAGCAATACCTCGGCAAAGTTGATGTGGAGCTGCAACGCCGCGTACGATTGCTTGAGTCCCGGAATGCGCTTGACAAAATCGCGGATTTCCGAAATCGACGCGTTTTTCTTGCGGAATTCCTCGTACCTAGCCGCCGTGTGCATGAGAAGAGGGCGGGACAACGATGGCGCACCGTTCGCGAATTTCACGAGCCTTGTTTTGTAAATGGGCGCCCAACCGTTCCGTGTGAAAGTCGCGAACTTCCGCGTACAGCGAATCGGTCGAGTTCAAGTTGACCGGGACGAGACCGCCGCGAGGCGCAGCGGCCGCCTTCTTGGACTTGTCCGAGTCGTCCTCCACGAGCTCAGCATCGACCTTGACGACGCTATTCGAGACAGATAAGGCGCGTTGCCCTCACCCGCTGCAAACCAACGTACCCATTCGTAATGCCGATGATTTCATCCAACAACCCTTCGTACGTGAATGGAGTGACGAGAGGCGAGACCAGATCGACGGTGCGGTCGAGAAGTATCAACGTGTCAATCTCGGGCTCGACAGACCCGTTCGAGTGTCCGTCTGCCCGCAGCTTTTTCTGGAACAGCGCCATTGACTCAACAACGACTTGCGACATCGACCCTTTGTACTTGACGTTCGGGATTTGTCCAAAGAGCGTCTGGAGCTTGTTCACCGACCCCGCGACGGTATGCAAATGGCTGCGATCGTTGTGAACGAAGAGGTCGTTGAACCCTTCTGACAGCTCGAGACTCAAGATGTCTTCTTCGACAGGCACCAAGTCCATGGGGAACTCGCCGATCGCCAACGACCCCATCACGCCAGCTTTCTTGAGCATTTCATCGCATGCGAGGGTTCGCTTGGGTGTGTAGTAGAGATGGAAGCGGACTTTGAACTTGCCCGCGAGTGCTACGTCATCGTAGTGAGCGCCTTCAGATCAAACCAAGTCTTTTGACGGTCACCTTTAATTGTTGAAGCAACGTCGTGGACAGCAGAAAAGCTTGGACGTACAATAAACACCATCACGTCACACCCCGCAGGTGGACCAGGTCCAACGTCGGCTGTGAGTTCCTTGAACTGGACGATCCCATGGTCCTTGAGGACTCCAGCTCCTTCTACGAGAACTTGCGCGACGAGTCCGCTGAGTTCCGGATCGAGCACCAAGGACAAGTTAGAGCGTTCCTTGTCACGAAGGCCATCCAAGATGCTAAACAACTCCCGGCGCGCGTCTTCGCGGAACACGCTGAGGTTGATCGCGCTGTTCTCCACGCTGCATACCCGCGATGCCATGTCGTTCTTCGCCAGGCGGTCAAAACCCCCCCTCGTCGTTCATTGGCTGATTTAAAGCTCAATTCTATTGGCTACAATATATTCTATTTTATCCAGTCACCTTTTGATACCATCAGAACACACGCACACCGGAGTATGACGAACTGGTCACGAATATCATTTATGATTGTGAATATCCATTGCCTCTGATCAAGAAAATTTCAGTCCCCTTGCCTTTCCCCAAGTAGCTTGCAGTGGAAACAGTATATGTTGGCGTTGCCAAGAGGGTGCAATTGGGTTCAACGACAGGAATCACAACTGGACCGACCATGCAGATCGATCCTGCAATGGAAGCGCAAGAACCGGTCAAGCGAGTGAAGCAACCAAAGTCCACATGAGCGCCAACTCACACCTGCCGATCACGCCACGATGCTGCAATCAGCCATGGCTTTGTGGTATTCACGATGTTCGGCCCATTTAGATTGCGCCATTGACTGTGTGGGTAAATGATTCATTTATGTCGTTTGACTGCTTCTCTCCTAGAAATAGTGTGGGATGCATGAAATACTGTGGAATGAAATCTCCACACTATTTCGCGTCCACGTCGTCGTGGCAGTGTTCGATCAAGGTGAAACCGACAGAAAATCTGCGCATTCTTCAATTTCTCATCGGCTGTATCCATGGCCGCATCCCAGAGAGTCCTCGGGCACCCCGACGTGATGCCGCTCATTGCCGAGTTCCAGAAGGGACTGTACTTGGATATCCTTGAGTACTGGCGCAAAGTGACCCACGACGGCGGTACAGAGTTCTGGGCGACGTTGGACCTGCCGCCGCACGCCATCGACCGCCGGCTACTTGGTTCTCCCACACAAAATCGACACCAGTTGCTCGTGCTCGTTGCAGCAAACCAACTCCACCTCGTTCGCAGACTCCTTCGATGCCGACCATACTTCCTTACACAACCAGGTATGTCGCGCAGCGCTCCAACTCTCGGTGATAGACACCTGCGATATCGACCTCATGTGGCAATCCACCGGCGTAGATTCCCCTGCAGTGATGGACATTGCAGCGGCGTTCGGTCGAGTAGAACTCGTCCGATATTTCCACACCATCTCATCCCAAACTGCGCTGTGCTCAACGAGAGCCATGGATCTTGCGGCGAAATACGGCTACATGGACATTGTGCACTTCTTGCACCATCATCGGCAAGAAGGATGCACGGCAGCAGCGATGGTCGGTGCCGCCGCGCATGGACATCTCAAGATCGTCCGGTTTCTCCACGAGCATCGTACGGAAGGCTGCACGGCAGACGCAATGGACTACGCATCGACCAACGGCCACCTCGACGTCGTAGCTTTCCTGGTCGCGTCACGGCATGAAGGATGCAGCACGTGGGCCATGGACACAGCAGCTGGAGCGGGTCGGATGGACGTTGTGCGATTCCTGCATTTCCACGTCAAAAGCGCATGCACCAGTGCGTGAACCCCCACTTCCTTTTGGATCCTTGACTTCTGTACGCTGATCTAGTCGACGCCATGAATGCATCAGCAGCGAATGGACATTTGGAAGTCGTACGGTTTCTGCATTTCCACCGTCAAGAAGGTGACCCTGTACCTATTGCGCTTTGGAGTACGACACTCATGCTACCGGCATAGGCTGCACCCGGCGAGCCATGGACATGGCAGCCAAGAACGGACATTACAACGTGGTGAAATTTCTACATGAGCACCGGCGCGAAGGGTGCACTGAATATGCACTGCATGGCGCGGCGCAGAACGGACATGTAACAATCGTGCAATTTCTTGTCCGCTATCGAAACGAAGGCAACCTGGTTAAAGCGATCGAAGTTGCCAAAGTACATGGACACGTCCATTGCGCTGCAGTCCTTCAAACAGTCGCTCGCTCCCTAACGCCTTTGGCGTGTTGAACGTAGGCTGGTAGAGAGTGTTGCTTGGCGTACCAGTATTGATAATGAAGTATATGCCGTGCCAAACACTCCAGATCGTTCGCCTCAAGTTTGGACACAGCTTGATCTTGCGAGGCCCTTCCATTTGTCCATCTCGATCGCTATACACAGCAGCCTGGCTATGACCCACGCTGCATCCAAGCAACGCCACGAATGAACTTGACGACAAAGCAAACTCCAGGACATCGTTTTCACCATGTTATATCCACAGATCCTTATCATCCTGATGACGGAGATCATGACGTGTCCACATCCTGCTCGTCGGAGGCGCTTTCCGACGTACGTGAACAATGCAAGTTGACTGATGTTTCATGCGATCTTTCCTTCGTTTGCAAGGAAGCAGGCTTGCCAAGCTCGATTCACCACCGCACAGCTTCGACGAGATCTCCCACGTTCCAAGCTGGTGAGGTTACATTCGAGTTTTGTAGATATCAAGCGTCCAGCGGCAGGGGGTGAGGGACAGACGAGTTCGAGTGCATGTTTTATTAGGAGAGAGGCGACGTTCATAGGAGTATTGTGGCGTCTGGGGGAGGTCGGACGACGTTGTCCAGCACACACGAGTAGGGGACCTTTGGACTCTCGAGATAGGGAACGCAAAACGCAGAGTCGCATCGGTCGTTCTGGACCATCGTGATTCGACGGAGCTGACAAAGCGTCCGCGAGCAAAGGGTCGGTCTTGACGACGAAGAGAGGGCGGCGGCAGGATCGCGGCGCCACCCCAGGCAACTGGGTGGTTCTGGCGCAATGTCGGAAACGAATCACAACTTGTTGAGACAGTCTTTGGCGGCCTCGTACGACGCAAACATGACGGCCGCGTACGGCACGAGGCGCACGAGGTTGGGTATCGACCCTCGATACAAGGCCAAAACCCCCTCCTCGCGCACCACCTTGACTAGGCAGTCCATTGTGCCGTGGTACCGGGGCTGCAGCTGCAAGCGCTTCTTGATCGTGTCCAGCGGATACGCGACGAGTTGCGCGACCGCGCCCGCCACGCTGCCGAGGGCGAGGTGGTCCGTAGTGTGCAGCTGGGTCTTGTCTTGAGGCCAGCGACAGGCGGGCCAGCGGTGCGCCGTCGTGTACGTCTTGCCAAACTCGTAGCAAGCAAACTGGATGCCTTCGAAGGGAATCGCGCCGACCAGACCGGACGCGCAGCCGCGGTAGAATCCCCGGATGCCGTCCGTCTGGACGATGTGCAGAGCCTCTTGGCGGATGGTCAGGGGAACGGGGGACACGATAAGCCGCGTGCGGAGCAGCTCCATGGGGTACACGAGGAACGTGGCAGCCATGCCGGCGAGGGCGCCGCACGCGGCTCGTTCGGCGTTGGAGGGGTTGGTGACGTCGGCCAGCGTCTGGAGCTGGTCAAAGAGGCAGAACTTGACGCCCGCGTACGGTCCGAGGCGACAGCAGCCGGCCAAGTTGCCTTTCCAGAACCCTTGGAGACCGCCCGTTTGCACGAGCGTGCGGCACGTGGCTTGCAGTGACGTTGCGCCGTGGGCCCGTGCCTGGAACACGACCTTGACCACGTCGAGCGGCGACGTCGTGGTGCGCGTGATGCACCCAGCGATGACTCCCGCCGCGACCGAGTGCCACCCCCCACTCGCGGTGGCGGGCGTGCGGCGGGCCGACGTGGCCATCATGGTGCACGGTGGGTTGGTGTGGTTTGCGGCGTGTTGCATTTTGAAAAGTGAGGCTGACGTGCACGTTGTCCCCGTACGTTTCGTGTATGGATCGGTCAGTAACGCAGCCATGTCGCGGAGATTTTATCGTGCCTTGCCTTGCATTGGTGTGACTCTAACTTTGGGGACTTGTCATTTGACGAGTTTATGAAGAGCTCCGTCTTGTTTTTCAGGCGTTTCCGCGCAGGACGTCCATTTCCAACAACGTGACGTTGTCTGGGCGTGTTCTCCGGAGACGACGGAATGCCAGCACCGTTGCCGTTCAAGAATGGGAAGGCTGTGGCTCGTG